AAGTTTTATGTTACTAACTACTTGAAGCTTCTTTACAGGCGACATGGGATCATCATACACCACAGGTATTATTATAGTACATTAGGGTATACGCAAACAGAGTTGCACTCTCTATTTCCTGACTCTCACAGTCGTATGGGACAGCAATCCAACACGACCGGAGAGAGATCAAGCGCAGGCGCTTTACTTGCTTTCCGAAGCACAGAGGTGAAACACTGCCAACTTTCTGACTCAGAACTGCTACTGAGAATTTCTCGACAGAGAAACCCAATAACAAATTTTGGCCCGACACGAAGTTCGAACCTAAGAGATCATGATTAGCAGTCCAACTTACGACTACTAGACCTACGAGGCACTACGACACCACAGTACAAAATGTGGTGCTGAAGTTTCTTTAGAGACGCTACAAGGCGTTAATACAGCATCTTACGTAACTTTCCAGGTATATAAGCACATACAGAACAACGTGATGACATATCCCGGTGCTATGTCACGACCTGAGTGGTGGAGGGACGTCGTCTTTTGGGAGACCTACACGCGTTCTAAACTATAAATAGTTTAAGAACAAGAATATATTGTATATGAAAATCATTCCTTATGGTTGCAATGTAAAAACCATAGACAATTGTACTGTTTGATAATATTTAGTTGATCTTTTAGTAATCGTTCTGTTTCTTGTTTACCAGTCTTTGTGCTAAATAGGTTAAGTACTGTTATATTAAAAAAAAAGTTATTTCCATGCTACGTCAACTAAGAAAGGCATCCTTGAAATATTCGTAATATCACGCTGGCGGTTAATGAGCACAAAGTCGATATCTTCGCACTGGTTCCGTTTTGTGAAGTTTAGGTTTAGTCAATTGTCAATTACAATTGCTGTGTCAATTGTCAATTATAATTGTTGTGTCGATTGTCAACTATAATTGTTGTGTCATTTATTTAAAAATCATTTTTGGTATAAAAAGAAATATAATATGGATATATACAACAAGTAACAAAAACCCTGTGGTGCCCGTTAAGTGCGTTGTCAGAATCAGTATTCAAACGTATATAAATAACTTTTTTTTTAAACTCGACCATAATTTTTTAAATTTAAATTAAATAATTTTAATTGGCAAATTGTATGTGGTTTTATAACTCTGCATTGTCCGCGGAGTAAAAGGATTGTCCAAAACCTCACTTTGCTGATGCGCGTCTCGGTTATAGATAATAAAAAAAACATAAAATTTGAAAAAAAAATTGAAATGAAATAATTTTAATAAATATTTTATTGGTCGAGTTATCTGAAAAAATGTTATTTCTATACGTTAGAATACTGATTCTGATAACGCACTTAACGGGAACGACAGGATTATTGTTACATGTTGTATGTATATTGATGGTTAGTTTCACTGAAATTCGAAAACTTCACAAAGAACGAATAATCTTTACACTTTTCTAACAATTTTACTTCTACTCATTCCAAGTCACGTTGCTCTTGTAGCATAAAAAGTTGATCAAATAAAAAAACATTTGAAGAACATTTTAACTTTTTTTAATGACATTTTACAAATAATTTCCATTAGAGTTTCTTTAACCAACACAGAAAGACAGAACACCACCTCTTTTTCAAGTAACGCTAAAACCGAAACCATGCTCAAGTGGTTAGGCACATGTGCACCTAAACACTTGAGCATGGTTTCGGTGATGTTGTTAGTTGCAAAATGGTTTTAGGTCAATGGCGAAGCTAGGGCCCCAAGCTAGGGCAAACCCAAAATGGTTTTGTTGTTTTTAGCAGTTTTATAAAAATACACCATTTCTGCATCTTGATCTGTCTCCACTCTTCAGTTTCATATTCAGTGCTGTCAAGGACGTGTTGAACAAAGCACACAGAAGGCTAGATAGATAGAGATATAGAGAGAGGCAGAAGGATACAAGATACATACGATCGTATGATATATGCAATTGCATACCTTCGGTAACTTTGAAAAGAACCGTTTGGGTTTGCTTGAGCGAAAGAAAAAGATATTTATATACAATACAATACATGAACAAAGGAAAGGCATGAACAAATTACAAATAAACTAGGTATGTACAAAATTAAAAAAGGGACGCCTGGCAGATGTGAAACATCGAAATTATTTTGTTTAAACATTATGACAGGAATTAGATATGGTATAATGAGAAGATAAAGCTTTGCAAATTTTGTTACCATAAAATAATGACTATTTATTATATAATTATTCATTTTAAATTTTAATAAATCGTACAAAATGATATTTTTAACTCTTAAGGTAATATAAATATTAAATTAGCCGACAGCGTGTTTTTGTGCCATCTAGCGTAATCTTTACGTACCACCGTGAGAATCAATCAATTTCGTTCGACAAAATGACTTCACCTATGGAATTAAGTAGATAGCGCTATTAAAATTTTATATACTGAACTGAGAAGATAAAGATTTAAGAACTAAAGTAAATATTCTTTAAAAAACTCAATACATCTATTCATTTAATTTATTACATTAAATTTTGGGCTTCACACTAAAAAAAGGATTGTAACAATTATTTGCTATAAAATTAAACTTATGCCTAGGTATCTCATATTTTATGCTGAAGTTCAAAATGATATTTTTAACTTATATGGTAATATAAGTATTGAGTTATTAAAAATTTAAATACGCCTATTACGTACCTATTAAAGTATAAAGAAATGTTTATTGAATCAAAATTTCATTTTTAAAGATTTTACCTTTTCCTCGCCGATTAGCACTTTAACACTTTTATATTCATCATAAGGAACACTAATATCCTCCTATTTTCACTAAAAATCTTTGAAAAAGCATACATTTTTAACAGACACAACAAAAACAAACATAAACATTGAAATGTGAAGTGAACTTGCAAACGTATTACCGTACCACCGCTAACGCATTCCCAAACAACTGCAGGGCAAAGCACGGCTTTTGGTACCATAGTAATTGCTATATAAACATTTCGTAGTTATATTTCATTTTAGAAAATTTTGCCACAGATTAGAAAGGGAGCGATCGTCTTCTCGAAAGCCCGGTAAAAAGCCAAAGCGTGCGAGAGAGATGACAAAATCAACTCCTTGCTTTAATTAATTTTGACAGTCCAGTGTATTTCGAATTGAAAGCAAACTGCCAAGTGTTGACGGTACATATTATATGCTATGAGGTCATGCCCTTTGAAATAGTTTGAAACAGTTTACGAGTTATTTTATTAGTTGATATTATTGATTGAGCATTTATATAGAGCAAGCCCGGCTTCTGAGCTTCTATGGAGGCTTCGCAATGTTTTAGGTGCATATGTGTGCGTGAGTGCGTATTCTGTGGCCATGTCTATCTTTCTTGGTTGGTCCAGGTAGGCAAGTCATTGATACTTACAGATAAATTAAATTATTAAATGTTTAATTGCACAAAACTAGTTGTAGTTTCTAATTGACTTAATAGAAGGGCATATCACACGTAAGTATTCGGATAACTTCGAGGTTATTCAACAGATTCAGCAATTTTTTTCTTTATTGATGGATAAGCTGACAAGTGTTATTTGGCAAAATTGCAATTTTGCCAAATAACACTTGTCAGCTTTAGTGTTGTAATTTGAGCCACCATCTATTAATTAATACTCAAGTTAAATGAATGGGGTACTTTTAACCTTATACAGTGTACAGTTACTGTGAGCGTATTACTAATGATGTTAGCCAAATGTTTGTAATAAAATTATACATTTATAAATAAATATAAAAAGTGGTGTGAAATGCGAGCACGGAGCGACGGAATAGTGTGGGCAAGTTATTTTGTTTAGAATATTATATGACATGACTGAAACGATCGCATGAATTAACTATAACGACCCTGCCCCTCGCCCTTGTACCTTCACCAACAAGATTCAGAAATTGAATATAGCGCAGGTCAAGGCCGCACTCAAAACTAATGTCATATAGTTTTGATTTTTAAAATTCAACTGTTACAACAGAATAAGTAATACTACAAGAAATTATACACACTCACGCACACACACATATCTACCTAAAATATTAGTCAGTCAGTACTCAGTAATGGACGATACACACGGTCATTTCAACTGATCAGTTCAAACTAGCACTGTTGATATTTTTTAAATATCAGATTTTCGCTATATCCATAAATAAACTTGATATATTTATAATTATTGATATGTCGAACATTCGATATTTTAAAAAATATCAACAGTCCTAGTTTGAACTGAGCAGTTGGACATCAACTGATGACTGAATACTGTCTGTATTTGCGAGGAAATATAGTTCATTTGTTATATATTTTTTCAGACTCAAATTACAGAATTTTTCATACTATATATTTTCGTAACAGCTTATTGTACTTACTACATATATGATATTAAATAGTAGGGTTGGCAACCCTATCTGTGTTTTGTACTTTTTAAATTGACGATTTAAATATTTCTCTCTGGAACTATCCATATCATTGATATTATATTGAATTGTGTATCTGGGTATACGACCCGTTAAAATCGTTACCAGTGGAACTGATTTAAAGAAATATACTGTAATGACGTAAATAATAAGCAATTTTTTATAGAATTGAACATATACAAATTAATTTAATATTAGGGTAACATATTTTAAGCTTTTATATATTATTATATATAGACGACAACACAAATATTTTATTATACTTGAGCGTTAAGTAACAAATATTTTATTATATAATGTGATGGGAAATATATAAATATATTGTATTTTTACGGGAGAATTGTAAATATTTTTTAATAAATGTTTTTGTTAAATTGTGTTTTATTTTCTTGATCACTATTCAGCTTATTTCGTAATCTTCGAAAACGAGAATATACTTAATTATTCACGAAGCCAATTCGTGTTTCTATAATGGAGTTTGCATATATAATGAGTCCTGTCAATCAGTCCGTCAGTCTGTAGAAATGTCGAGAAAACCTCTACGTAGAGTTTGAACTTTCAGTAACAAAGAACTTTCCAGATCTGGTATCATGTTGAAGGCGATAGTATTTTTCGTTCTTTTAACAACGTAAGTAAATTACATAATATTATTATTACATAGTAAATACAATACGTGTTAAATGTGATCAGTCCGTTCAATACAGCCTATAAAAGACCACTGCTGAAAATAGACTCCAAAAGAAGGTATTTTGACACAGTTGTCACGCTGGGGCAGGCTGCTTGGCAAACGCAGTCTTTTGTTCCTTTGAGTTGTTATCCGAGCGATGCTCCTGCACATCACCTGTTATTCCCCTCTGTCACCTCTTGCGACACCGACGGAACGATGTGGTGTAGTTTTTTTATATAGGATTGGGTGACAAACGAGCACACAGTCCACCTGATGGTAAGTGGTTGCTGTGGCCCATAGACATCTACATCTATCCTCGATTACGAATCAAAAGCGATGGTAGCCTAATGGCAGGGCGCGTACCGCGAACTCAAAAAAAAAAGGTCGTGGGTTCGAATCCACCATTCGACTACTGGCGTGAACCACTCGTAACACAAGCAATTTAAGCTTACCACGAGTGGTAAAGGGGAATATTAGTAATGTTTATAGCAATGTTAATATTCTTTAAAAAAAAATCCAGATGCGTTGTCACCCGTGAGGACTAAGACAGAATGCCTCGTTTCTATTAAAAAGGGTCTCCGGTTCTCCACACTCACCATACGAAACACAGCAGCATTAAGCTACTGTTTCACGCTGGTATTCTGTGAGAGCGTAGTCCTTCCCCGGTCGAGCCGACCCATTCGTGCTACAACTATACTTCTAATATAACTGCAGCATGGCTCTACCACGTGGAAATTCATTACGTAGTGGACATTCTTTCACCACCACTTCACGTTTTGTGATCAGTGCCGAACGCTATTAGTTTTATATAGAAAGGAAGATCTTTTGGACCAGTAGAGGCACATGCCCAGCTATTTTATTAGAGCTATTGTTGATGATTGAGTCTTATGTTGCCGCCTGTACTATAAAATATGTAAAGCGGAATTTTTAACTATGAACCAAAGATAAAAAAAATTGTGGGCTGACGTCGGATTCCATTCAATAAATGATTCAATTACCAGTGTATAATTTTTTACAAAAAAAAGTCAAGCAATTATAATTATTTTAGCCACTGAAATTTTATTTTGTTGTTAAAATCAAAATAATATCAACAGTGTCCTTCAAAACTCCTTTTTACGGATTTTATCGCGTTTATTTTACACGATTTTTAATTCCCGGCGTTTCAGTTGCTTTCCAGCACCCGTGGTCCCGGGTGTAGCATGAATGGGTCGCCTCGACCGGGGAAGACCCACGCTCTCGCAGAATACCAGTGTGAAATAGCAACTTCGTGTTTTGTATGGTGAGCGTATTATCTGGAGACCTATTTTACTGGAAACAAGGTATTCCATGTTAGTCCTCAGGGGTGATAACGCAAATGCATTTTTATTCTTAATCGAGGATAAATATAAATGTGTATGGGCCACAGCATCCACTTACCGTCACGTGCACTATGTGCTCATTTGCCTAAACGTATCTTTTGACATATATATGTATATATTTTCATAATGCTATCTGTTTCATCCCGCTCGCTCCGTATCACCGTATCGTGCGATAGAGAGAGTTGCAAGTTTTGGAAGCAATTGCCTACATTTCTTTTTCAAAATATTGTTTCGAGTGACGTTTTTACTCCCCTAAACCTTTACGAAATAAGACAATTTTGGTCTCATTCAATTCAGTACACCTTAATCTAGGTCCGTACGGTTTTTTAGTAATTCCGTTTAGTTTAATTTAAAAAAAAACGCTAATAACTTTATCGTACGCAATATTTCTTTAAAGTAAGAACGTACAGACCTAGTTTTTTATTATATTTACAACATTTCCAAAAATTGGTATGAAAATTAGACTATGTTCACATAGGGGAAAACGTTATCGCTTTTTGTATAAAAATTTACAGCTTCACAATCCTCTTAAGTTCTACCTGTATTGTAATCATATTTCCCTCGGTGGTCCTATTACTAAAGTGTAACCTACAAACTAATCAAAATTATTGTTTTAGTGTCAATGGAGACTTAGGTGATATATTGAAAGGCGTAAAAAAGAACAAGGATCTGGAGTATGTCCTTGTAGATTTACTCAACGACATCGTAAGGCACAATGACCTCACATGCATGGCCATTATTTGCGATTCGATTTACTTGAACGTTTTCGAGGGGGCGCTGTTTGCGAAAACATTTACTATACCGTATATTATAGTAAGTACTTTAATATATTCACGTGGTTTAGTGGTGGGCTCAATCCGCTGAGTTATGTCTTGAAGATGAACCTGATTAAACCTATTTTTTTAAAGCACAAACCTAGTTCCATATAGAAAAGCCTGAAAAAAAAATTATAGCACGTATGGATCAGTGATCTCTATCCGGATTCTTGTAGTGCTGAACTGTAGCACCTAGCCCAAGTAGCACAGATAGCTGTATAACTACTCAATTTAAGACCTATTTGAAACTATGCGTATTAAGACTCTTTTAAGAGTACACTGGTGATCCTACAGCTGCATAATAACTGTCAGTGATATTTAAATAGCTTAGGCTGATTAAGGGCTGCATTAAGGCTGATTAAGACTAACAAAACTACCACTAACACGCTAAGAGTGATATAAAATTATTTTTTCAACTCTATTCAACTTTTAACATTTTCTAATGCCTTAACCGTAGTAAGGGCTGTTTAGTGGATGAAATTACGCCAAAAGCTGTATAAGAAGGTATTTGTTACTCCTATTATACTGATTTATTAAAGAGAGTCGGTATATCGAAGTGCTGAAGTGTTTGTACAGTAGGGCTACGATGGCTATCCAAGTACAGAACCAGAGTTTGAAAGCTATCCAACTGCAGAGAGGTGTAAGACAGTGTGACGTTATATCCCCGAAACTCTTCACCGCTGCGTTGGAAGACGTTTTCAAGCTACTGGACTGGAAAGGATACTATTCTCTTCACTCACCTTCGATTTGCCGACGATATAGTCCTTATGGCGGAATCGCTGGAGGACTTTAGCACTATGCTCAATGACCTCAATGGTGTCTCCCAAAGGATAGGTCTTAAGATGAACATGGACAAAACAAAGATCATGTTCAATGTCCATGTCACACCCATGCCGGTAGTTGTCGGGAGCACTATGCTCGAAGTTGTTGACGAGTACGTTTACCTGGGACAAATAGTCCGACTAGGTAAGTCCAACTTCGACCGAGAGGTCAATCGACGGATTCAACTCGGCTGGGCAGCGTTCGGGAAATTACGACACATCTTCTCGTCAGGTATACCTCAATCTCTGAAAACTAAAGTGTACAACCAGTGTGTGTTGCCAGTGATGACTTACGGATCTGAGACGTAGGCCTTCACTGCTGGCCGTATGAGGATGCTCAAGGTCGTTCTCAAGCTATGGAGAGGGCTATGTTCGGAGTTTCTGATGCGTGATAGACTCAGAAATGAGGATATCCGCAGTAAAACCAGAGTGACCGACATAGCCCAACGGATTGGTAAGCTGAAGTGGCAATGGGCCGGCCATATAATAATAATAATAATAATATAAATATTTATTTCAAACCAATGGGTACATTATATTATATTAGTGACCGTAGCATCCTTTTAAGCTAATAAGCCTGTATCAGGGAGCAAATAGCTCGAAGAACCGATAACCGATGGGGAAGAAAGGTTCTCGAGTGGCAGCCTCGTACCGGTAGGCGTAGTGTATTGCGACCCCCCACTAGATGGAGTGACGACCTGGTAAGACATGGAGGAAGTCGATGGATGCAGGTGGCTCAGGACCGTACTTTGTGGCACTACTTGGGTGAGGCCTATGTTCAGCAGTGGACTTGTGAAGGGCTGTAATGATGATGATTAAAGAGACACGTGCGAACTAAATATGAAGTTAATAGCTGTATAGTAGATGATTTGTGGACTACATTACAACTTATTGCTAAATAATTCTACCGCTAATCAGCATTTATACTGCCATTGATAGTGTCTGCATAGCGGCTGTTTAAACATTCACTAGATGCCTCACAACTACTTAGAGACTCACTAGTGTATCGAATTTACGGTTTCTACTTTATAGTGGTTTACATAAGTACCTTTAATCAGACTTTATCTGAATAAAAGTAACATATGTGGTACTGTAACCAGTCAGTGCAACTTAGAGCTTAGACCATATTACCGACGTATATATTTTATTGCATTAGAAGGAAATTATCGAAAGAGTACCAAAGAATTATGAAGATGGAAGAAATAAAACCTACAAGTCGGGAAGTAACACAAAGCGTAACAAATAATTTGAAAAATCATGGTTCCGTACAAAATATTAATCGCAATAGCTCAAGAAGATGTTGCACATTCTAAAAATTATGTGTGTCCAAGTTTTTCTTCCAGTAACCTCAGTGATAACATTAATTGTTCAATTCTAAACTCCGGCAATTATAACTCAGAAAAAATATCGAGTTCTGAAGATGACGACGACAAATACAGTGATAATGTAAAGCACTTACTCTTTAGAGAGAAAATTAGAACGTGGGCTGCAGAAAATTACCGACTTGATTCCGCAAATATTACCAACTGATCCAAGGATAATTTTAGCAACTCCTCGAAATGTCAACATAAATCAATCCAATCCAATCGCCATCACCTCCTTGTTCTCCAAAACAATGGAGTCCATTGTAAACTGCCAGCTCATGAGGTACCTTGAAGATCACCAGCTGATTAGTGACCACCAATACGGTTTTCGCCGTGGTCGGTCAGCTGGTGATCTTCTGGTCTACCTAACTCACAGATGGGCGGAGGCAGTAGAGTTCAAGGGGGAGGCATTGGCCGTTAGTTTGAACATTGCGAAGGCCTTCGATCGGGTTTGGCACAAAGCGCTTCTTTCGAAGCTCCCTTCCTATGGGCTTCCCGAGAAATTGTGCGATTGGATCACCAGCTTTCTTACAGATCGGAGCATCAAGGTCGTTGTAGACGGTGCAAGCTCCGATTGCAAGCCTATTAATGCTGGTGTTCCACAGGGCTGCGTGCTATCGCCAACGCTGTTTCTTCTGCATATCAATGACATGTTGCATACCCGTAACATTCATTGCTATGCAGATGACAGCACTGGTGATGCTCTTTACACCGGGCGAGCCAATATTTCGCGGGAAAACGTCTCCGAGTGCCGGGACAAACTTGTGTCTGAAGTCGAGTCTCTGCTGGACAGTCTCGGATTGGGGGCGACTAAATCTAGTCCAGTTTAACCCCCAGAAGACACAAGTTTGCGCGTTAACCGCTAAAAATAACCCCTTTGTCGTATCCCCTCAGTTTCAAGGCACTCCCCTTGTTGCCTCAGCCAGTATCAGAATCCTCGGCGTCGACATATCGAGTGACGTGCAGTTTCGTGGTCACTTGGAAGGGAAGGCCAAATTGGCCTCTAAAAAAGCTTGGCGTGCTCAGCAGAGCGGGACAGTATTTCATGCCGGCACACCGCTTGCAACTTTACAAGGCGCAAGTTCGGCCGCACATGGAATACTGTTCCCATCTCTGGGCTGGGGCTCCCCAGTACCAGCTTCTTCCACTTGACCGCATCCAGCGCAGAGCGGCTCGAATCATTGACGACCGAGTGCTTTCCGATCGGCTCGATTCACTGGCGCTGCGAAGAGATGTTGCATCTCTTTGCGTATTTTATCGCATCTATCACGGGGAGTGCTCTGAGGAATTGTTCGGATTAATCCCAGCCGCCAAATTTCGTGAACGCACTACACGTCAAACGTCCCGATACCATCCACACCATCTGGATGCTTGGCGGTCCACCACTGTACGTTTCACAAGGAGTTTTTTCCACGTACAACCTCTCTGTGGAATAGTTTACCACCGGCGATTTTTCCGGACCGATACGACCTGGGGACCTTCAAGAAAAGAGCTTACTCCTTTCTAAAGGGCCGGCAACGCACCCGAAATTCTCCTGGTGTTGCGGTTGATCATGGGCGGCGGTAGTCACTTAACATCAGGTGAGCCACATGCTCGTTTGCCCCTTCTTCTATATAAAAATAAAATAAAATAAATCGAAGGCGGCGAATACTGGCACAACGGAATAGCCAATTATTTGATTAAAATATTGAATATTTGGGATGAAGCTCCAGACGAAACTTCATTAAATATTAATTTTAATGGTTTGCCAATATTTAAAAGTTCTAAACATGAATTTTGGACAATTTTGTTGAACATCCACGAGAATACTGACAAGTAAAGTAAAGTAAAGTAAAGTTACAGCCTATATACGTCCCACTGCTGGGCTCAGGCCTCCCCTCATTTCTGAGAGGGTTTATAGAGGAATACTGACAAAGCCATTTATTATTGGTATTTATTTTGGTGTTGAAAAACAAAAAAACTTGGACAGTTACTTAGAAGATTTTATTGACGTCTAGAAAAAAAATTTGGATGAAGGTATTTATAATTTCGAAAAGACTATTACAGTAAAGATTCGATGCTTTATATGCGACTAGCCAGCTAGAGCCTACATAAAAGGTAACCATTTTGAATTTTATTCTTTTTTTATATTAACTTTAAATTATTAACTTTAATATAAATTATATTAACTTTAAATTATTGTAATGTCATTTTAATTTTACAATAAAATAAAAATTTATCTATTTATTATTAATATTTTTCTACCCAATTTTAAGGTTCGCGCGCGCTTAAAATGGTGTGCTAAATAATATCACTTCGACAATTTTGAACTAGAAGTTATCCATGCGGTGCTTTTGGATATAATACTACGGATCTCTAAAGAGTCTGTATAACTGTTTAATTGTTCTCATTACGGCTAACGGTAGAGCTTGTGAAACATTTAAAGTAAAGAAAACAGATTGTAGCTGCATACAGTTCACATGTGTAGTTTTAATCAGTTTTTTGCAGATTAACAGTACACTAGTGAACTATTAGACAGCCTTTTGCAGAATATAAGAGTTTTAACTATTCACGTCGCTGTTTAACATGAATCCAACATTTTATTGTATAACCTATAAATATACTGCCCACTGCACATCTTATGGAATCAAGGTTAACCCTAATAAAACACAGGTAATAGTGATAGGTAGCAGCAAACTACTACAAAAAATTACATGGTATACACTGCCCTTTGTTTGTTTTAAGAATTCTGTTATTCCTTATAGTAAGGTTGTAAAAAACCTAGGAATTCTAATTGACAGTACAATGTCTTGGGCACCTCAAATTGAACAGATAAGCAAGAAAATGTTTGCAGCTTGTGGAAGTCTGAAGAGACTCCGAAATTTCCTGCCCATTGCTACCAAAATTGCGTTAGCACATTCCATTTTGTTACCTATTTTAGACTATACTGACATATGCTACACTGATATTACCATGGACAAAGAATATATACACTACGCGAACCATGGAGCAATTAAATAAGCTTAAGCGTTTTCAGAATATATCCATTCGGTTCATATTTGGTTTACGCAAATATGATCATGTATCCCAATTTCGAAATCAACTCAAGTCGCTCCCTATTCGCCTTCGCCGGAATGTTCATATACTCTCTTTACTTTTTTGTGATCCGAAATCTCCAAAATACCATAAGGAACAATTTCACGATCGACATGAATTTCATAACCGCAATTTGCGTTCAGTGTACAGCTTGGCTGGTTTAGACCTTTGGCGCAAGCTTTCAGACTACTGCTAATCCTCTTACCTGACTGACTGGGTGAAAGATTTTCTGAGTAAACGATCTCTCCGAGTCGTTATCGATGACCTCTCGTCCAGTTCTATCACAATAAACAATGGAGCTCCTCAGGGTTTCTTTCTCTTCGCAACTCTCTTCCTGCTGTATTAATGATCTGCTCATTTCCCGGTATTTTTGGGTATGAAGATGACAGCACAGTTGTGGAGACGTACCAGTCGAATGCTCAACACAGTTGTGGAGACGTAAAAGTCCAATGCTCGGGCCAGTCGGGATTAAATCCAGTACGAAAGAGAAGCTATGGTTGAGCGTGCGAATATCTCACTGCAGACAGTCTCCGAATGGGGCTATGGCAATCTCGTGAAATTCAACGCCTCCAAAACAAAAGCGTGTTGTTCACCGCTAAAAGGAGCCCGTTCACCCTAGCTCCTACTTCTCGAAATGTATCCTCAGAGTACACTGACCGCCTTAAGTTGTTCGCCTTAAGTCTTTCGCCTCAACTATGGGCGGTTCATTGAGTCCAAGGCCAAAGCAGCCACAAGGAAACTAGGTGCACTTTCAATAGTGCGACGGTACTGTTTTCATATATGGGCTGCTGCTGCAAAATGCCACCTGACAGTATTGGACTCGGTGGAGAGATGTGATAAAGGCCCATTGGTAACCTTGATTTGGTTAAAACCAATCTTGTCAGCCTTGAACACAGGCGCAGAGTAGTCAACTTCTCGGTATTCTATAGAATACATTTCAGTAAGTGTTTTTTTTTTCTTTAATTCCTCCCTCTTCTTTCCACCATCGGACAACAAGACTGTCGGCGGGTCTTCACCCTTCTGTTGTCGATATTCTACGCCAACCAAGTGGTTTACTTCATCTTTTGTAATGCGTATAGCAAAGGAGTGTAATTTGGACAAAACCCTGGAGTAGTGCGGTAAACTAACTGCTCCTAAAACCCTCATAATAAGACGAGTACTTTGTTAAGACATATACAAGCAGCTTTACTTTTAAGTTATATATTAAGTAAACTAACAATTTCAGATTGTAGTGGCTGAGCACGAAGACCTACTGTCACCGAATTTTTACACATTAGAGTCTTTGAGGCAGGCGAGGAAGGACGGATGCAGCGCCTACGTGATCATTCTCGCGAACGGTCTACAAGCTGCTCGATTGTTACGATTTGGTGATCGGTATAATTAATTGCAGTTACTATCAATTACAAAACTCCCTAATTACTATAAAAATTTGCGTCATGTCAATCAAGTTCCTATAATTTGTTTATTTTTAGGCTTAATTGCACACCAAGTACAAAAAGCCGGACTTATTGCACTAAGGCATTCTCTTCAATTCTACCTCGTACCTCCATAATCGCATATACATAGCCCTCGTCTACAGAACCGTATCGTTTTTTTAATGACAAAATTAAACTTTAAAATAAGTAAAAACCGACTACAGAAACTAAAAAGAAATAAAATAACTTTCACATATCAGCTTCTGAACGCGACGCAATTAAGAAGAATTTTTATCATAGTCACAATATTATATTGATAAAATTACCTATATGTATCTTAATTTCATGATCTTTGTATTATATTCGCGATTCTATGAATAATGTTTCATATGTGAATATTACTTTCATTCACATGTAATTTCTTCGTAAAAAAGATTACCCTTTTCCCCTTATAGAATTTTCTTCTGTAAAATAAAGTAGCTTAGTTTAATATTTAAACACCCTGGAGCTCTTTACTTACATAAATTAGTACGAACACTTTTTGTATTAGCGGAATTTGAATCCGCTGCCACGGCGTTACGGAGCGGCTATGAAGGTATTATTTTTATCATATACAAATTTTCTCAGATACCGCCTGCTGGAAACAAGAGCCAAATATATAATGCTCTATGACACGAGACTGTTCAAAAGGGAGTTACATTACCTATGGAAACGCATAGTTAACGTTGTATTCTTACGATATCATAGTAAAATCTTTGACATTCAAAATAAACCTTGGTTTGACTTGTCTACCGTCCCCTATCCAAATCCCGTTAAAGAGTTCCTCATAACACGAAGAATTGATGTATGGCGAAGTGGCAAGTTCCATTACAATAGGCATATATTTGCGGACAAAACGAAAAACTTAAATGGGGAAATATTGGACGTTGTTTATTTGGATCATGTTCCATCAGTGGTGGTTAAGAAGACAAACGATTCAAGGACAGTTGGAGGCGTTGAAATTGAGGTATGACCAACAATATCCTTATATAAAATAGTTAGAATATTATCCGGTTTGAAGGACCAACTTCAGCTTTTATTAAGTTCTAACCACACAAAATAGCTGATTGTTTTTGAATTCCTCAATAATACTTTATTTGCAATTTCGTACCAATAATATTTAATATTTTTTACTCCATCTAGTGGCCGTAGACTTAGCTTACTGGTACGCGGCCGCCACTCGAGGAACTTTCCCATCAGTTGTCAGTTCTTCGAGCTATATGACCGATGCTAGATCGAGTGGTGACCTAGTAAAATATGCAAGTGGTTATTTTATGGATGCGGATGGCTCAGAGCCGTGGTTTATGGCATTCCTTGAGATTGCATAATGATGATTTTTAGTTAGGTTAATAAACTTATAATTAAAAGTACGGGAGATAATAACACAGATGACAACCTCTGCCAAATGGTTTAGGCAACTTTTATGAGCCAATCCATGAGGAAGGCCTATGTTCAGCTGTGGGCTTTTAAAATGTTGAAAAATGAATTGGTTTAAAAAATTTTATGTAGGTACTCATTAAAAAAATTGTTCCAAGCCACATCACTTTTCATTTCAGATCCTTAACACAATAGCTTTAAAAATGAATTTCAAACCTAAACTATATCAGCCACTTAACGCTGAACAAAACAAGTGGGGTCAGAAGCAACCGAATGGGTCGTTTTCTGGACTCCTTGGCGAAATGGTCACTGGAAAAGCTGATATTGCCGTAGGTAATTTACAATACACTCCGTACTATCAGGAGTTAACAGATTTGAGTATACCTTATACGTCTCAATGCTGGACGTTTTTGACACCTGAAGCCATGACAGACAACTCTTGGAAGACGTTGATTTTGCCATTCAAGTGAGTGGGTAGTTTTTTTTTACAATATACTGCGAGGAAAAATTCTAATTTAGTTTTAATTTCCGTATTATGTACACATATAGAATTCGTATTATTGAGTTAGTAACTAACTATATTACGTTATTATTTATTTATTATTAAGTAAACTATATAAATACGATATGATTGATACCTTGGGTAGGATAAAGTTTAAGTCAAACATAAAAACACATTATCGTATAGAACCAAAAATGTTATCTGTATTTTTATTCTAAACCTATAAATGTACAGTACCCGGATGACCGAGCTTTTTTTGAAATTACATTTATAAATTACATACTGATGAAACATAAATAATATTTTTTGATCTTATTGACAGAATAGAAAAAACTGAACTGGTTATTTGAATAAAAATCATGAGTGCAATTAGTTTTATAAAAATTTTCGTATTTTTAAAAAATACTAAAAAGGGGCTTGAAATAATAGATTTTCACTACCACTTTCAGGACACTAACCACGGAACTCAGATATCACGCCCGACCAACATCCCACCAGAGCTACTACGATCACTAGCGATCTGTCAAGATTTACCTTCTTATATTGTAGCAGTTTTTTTTTATTGCCTGAAAACACGGACAAAAGGACATTTTCTAAAAATAAATCCTAGTAATATATCGTTTTGAAGGTAGTCTCCTATACTTTCAAACGGAGCGATTGTTATATATATATATATATATATATATATATATATATATATATATATATATATATACAAGAATTGCTCGTTTGAAGGTATAGGAATAGGATAGGATTTTATTACAGTACTTTTTAAGAGGCTCGCCCTTAATGTAAAACAACATAGTAAACTAAAGCAATATAGCAATGAAAGCGTATTAGTCTATGGATAGTTACTTTATAGATGCATCTGACGGCTCCGTGGCGCAATGAGTTGCAGAACTGAGAGTCCCGGGTCCAAATCCTGCGCGGAAAAAGCATTTTTAGGGCCTACATTTAGTTGTAACTGGTCTGGCTTGTGAAATTTATGTATGTTAACTGGTTCCACGACCGAGAAAATCCTAGATTAGGGGTAGGTACGTTTATAAGGAAAGTAAAAAAAAGTCAAGGCAATTTGACATCATAGCGATTGGTCTAAGAAAAGGGTTTTTAGAACACGAAAATTGTACATCCGTGACTTAATATTCCATGTTCGTGACAATAAAACACATGAGTACATACATCCTGGATGACCTTTTTACCGTCTGTAAAAAATAGGGTGTAACATGTGAACGTAGTAGAAGTTTATGGCACTGATATTTTACCAAAAATAAAAACAAACATTGTGAATCTGTTCACATATTACATCCCATTTTTTCCAGACGGTAACAAAACTCATCCAGTATAATGTAATCTTTAGTTTAAGGTGTCTTAAAATAACTATTAAATAAATGAACACTTACATATTATGTATGTATGTGCAATAAAATCACATGTATTTATTTTTATTACAGATTGTATATGTGGATCGCTGTGTTACTGGTTTTATTAGTAACAGGGTCAATTTTCCATGGATTGGCCAAATACTACATGCGTTTGGTGGATTACAGAAAAGAAAACGAAAAATATAAAGACACCGACCTTCAAACGAATAAAGGTTATTCGGGTAATTAGTCGCCAATTTGTTCGTTTTAATTGAAGACATACTCGTAGCATTCTAAAAGCATTACAGCCTATAAAAGCCCACAGCTGAACATAGGCCTCCCCAATAGATTACCTCATGGGGAGGGGGGATTTTGCCATAGTGGCCACGCTTGGCAGGCGGGTTGGCAACCGCAGTTTTTATTACTTAAAGTTATTATCAATTAGATGCTGCTGCCCACACCCTGTTTCAGTTTCCCTCTGTCTTCTCTTACGACACCCACGGGACGATATGTGGTAGTGGATATTTTTGCACTGCCACAAGACGGTTCAACGGAAGATATAACATGATCTAGCATTAAAGAATGGTACTTTCCTATTAAAAGAATATTTCGACGGTAATACCTGTGAAGAAGCGTTATCGTGATGCAGCATGATTCCCCGAAGCCCGGTCTTTGGTCTTCTCTACTACACAGCTTGAAAAGCTTTGGGTAATGCAACTGTAGTATACCATTCAGAGTTGACTGACCTACAATTTTCCAGCATTGAAGCCACCATTTTATACCGACGTTGCGAGGGCTTTGTAGTTTTGTCGGTAACTGTCCTTCTGAGTAAACCCATACCGATGATTGCCTATTATTTTCTGGATCATATTGATAGATCGATGTCTCGTCACCAGTATCGATTTCTGAAACACGCCTAGATGCCCCGTTTTCAAAACTTAGACGCATTTCATGGCACCAATCCACACGAGTCAGTTTTTCGCTTTCGGAGAGCAAACGTGGGATCCATCGACAACAGAGCTTCTTTACTCCAAGATGTTGATGTAGGATGGTATGAATTCTCCCCGAACTAATGCCTACAATCTTTTCGATCTCCGTATATGTGATTCGTGGGTCTTCTCTTTTTTATACGTGGTAGAGCCATGCTGCAGTTATATTAGTAGTATAGTTATAGCACGAATGGGTCGGTTCGACCGGGGAAGAACCACGCTCTCACAGAATACCAGCGTGAAATAGTAGCTTACTGCTGCTGTGTTTCGTATGGTGCGAGTAGAGAACCGGAGACCATTTTTACTGGAAACGAGGCATTCCATCTTAGTCCTCACGGGTGACAACGCATCAGCACCTTGATTCGTAATCGAGGACAGACGTAGATGTCTATGGGCCACAGCAACCACTTATCATCAGGTGAACTGCGTGCTCGTGTCACCCTATCCTATGAAAAACACAACATTTCAGTAGTCCATACATTTTCTGCCGTTACTGCAGTTTGCGGAGCCCCGGTTCTTTGGTCAGCTTTAAGGTCCATCGTGGGAAGCATTGCGGGAAAATTATTAGAAGTTTAAAATATTGAGCAATTGGCTTGTGGAGTTCTATTTTTAAATAAATTTGCTTTTTAGAAACATATAACACGGGTGCGTTCCATTTTTAAATATTGAGTCTAGTAGGTACTGATCAATAAGAGAACGATGCATTGTCATGCTAACCATTTATGTAGACTTCTCTCTGTCATTAACTGCGAAACAAATGTTTTTTTTTCTTTTCAGACACAAAGCCCGTAGGTTTGTATTTATTTGAAGAAATAACGAACAGCATTCTTTACACATACGGAATGTTGGTAGTAGTCTCTTTACCAAAGCTACCTTCAGGTTGGTCGATCAGACTGCTCACTGGATGGTACTGGCTTTATTGTATTCTTTTAGTAGTTTCATATAGAGCCAGCATGACTGCTATATTGGCCAACCCAACACCAAGGGTCACCATAGACACGTTGAAGGAATTGGTGGACAGTAAAACAAAATGTGGGGGCTGGGGTGCTGAAACCAAACGATTTTTTTCGGAATCATTGGACGATGTGGGTCAGAAAATTGGCGAAAGATTCGAAGTGATAGATGATCCCGATGTAGCGGTTCAAAGAATAGTTCATGGCGATCTCGCCTATTACAACAGCAAAAACTTTCTAAAATATTTAAGCGTTAAAAGAAAAAACGTTAATGTAAATATGAACATAGATAATTCAACAATGAATGGTACAAAGACCCAAGTAAATACTGAAATGGAAAGAAATTTACACATCATGACAGACTGTGTGGTAAATATTCCCGTTTCGATAGGTTTCCACAAGAACTCACCTCTGAAACCCTTAGCCGATGTCTATTTGAGAAGAATCGTTGAAGTTGGCCTTGTTGAGAAATGGCTGAATGATGTTATGTACCATATAAAGTCCTTAGAAAGAAATGAGGAAGAAATAAAGGCCCTAATGAATTTGCAGAAACTACACGGAGCTTTCATTGCGTTAGCTGTAGGATATTTTATAAGTATGGTATGCCTCATATGGGAATATATACATTGGAACTATATAGTTAAAAGAGACCCATATTTCGACAAATATGCTATAGATTTGTACTATCAAAAAAAGAATAAAAAACATTAGAGTTGTATAGAAAGAAGTGTATTATATATTATTAATAGAATCATAATTGCCTAATATTCTTTGCAAAAAATAATTTCTTCAGTCATGTTTTTATTCTAAAATTACTTGATAATAAATGTTTTATGAAAATCGTTTATTATTTGTTTGTTACATAAAATGATCAATTTAAAATTTAATAAAGTTTGTGAATGTACAAATATAATCACAACAAAGACCATACTAAATATAATTATCATTATTTCTATATTCTTTGCTTATTGTTATATATGAGTTAAAGAAATATAATCCCAGGCTGAGATCCGCCGCACTTTGACTTTGCTCAAACTTTACTTACGAAATACTTAGCTGAGTATATGCTTAGCATAACCTTAGATTCTGAATTTATAGTTGCTGTGGGCTAAGATTATTATTACATTTAACTAATTTTAGTTTAAAAGATGATAAAAAACCGAACATTTGGTCAGCCGGTCAAGCGCTCTCAAATCACTGTTTCAAACGTGAAGGTTTTGGTTTATTGATATTGCGGGCATTTTAATTTTTCATTCATATTTTAAATGCCTGATTATTTTCTTACGACTGGCTTTGGAACTTGGCTCCTGATCCTACATATTCGTCCTACACTTTCGCTACCTACCCGACATTCTTTGGGCTTTTCTGTAACTCAGGTTTGTTTAAGAACATCGAAGAACATATAAGAGTATGGCCGCCAAAAATTGTTTGTTTGGGAAAAAATATGTGTCCATCTCATATTGAGTATTATAAATTCCATATTTATATTGTTGTGATTTGATTCTCGTTCGCAGTATAATTTTATTCATGCGAGTGATAAATTCAAATTCATTGTAGTTACATAAATGAGTACAATTCTTTTTATCGTAGAGTTAATTTTAGTTTGTAGTTCCCATACAAATGTCGTGTGTCCCACTAAGACATCTCATACTTTGATGTCGCAAAATATGCACAACTATTATGTGACCCGTAAAATTTTGGCATTTCTGAATTGTCATATACCTTTATACGAGCAATTCTTGTATATATATATATATCGGAAACGGCTCCAAATATTTCATTTATCCTTAAAATTTAGTGTCCAGAGGGTTTCGGGGGCAATAAATCGATCTAGCTAGGATTCATTTTTAGAAAATGTCCTTTTGTCCGTGTTTGCAGGCAATGAAAAACTGCTACAATATAAGAAGTGTATGCCTAGCGTGGCAACTATGGTAAATATGATGATACAATCCGTGAAGAGACCTATAATATGTTCAGCAGTGGACTTTAATAAGCTGTAACGGTAACGGTATAGTTTATTACTGCATAACATTGAATTTACAAAAATTATATATTAACATACATGTTTAAATATTACATTTAAGATAACAATAACATTAGAACCTCTGACTTCTAATCTAGAATAATCTATGTAATTCATAAAATAAATGTTGCACCGGTAGTACAGTTTGCGGTTATGTTTCGGTTGTCGTTTCCACATTCAGTAACGATATGAAAACTAGATATCGGTTATGTTACCGTTGCAGATAAAAACTGAAAACGCCCATACTTAGCTGTAAGACTTATTGCACCAAGCATACTAACCACTGACCTCTATATAAACAAGTACGCTGGACAGGCAGGCTATAAACCGTGACCGTGACATGATGAAGCGATTTGATTTCCGCCATTTTGGCGCTGACAGCAGAAATGCACGTCCACGGAACTAATAATAGGGATAAGACAGTGTACCAAATTATATCGATAAAAATTCTATACCCTACCATACCTAAATAAATAGAATGGACTCTATGAATAGATGGACTCTACCCGTAACCGTAACGTCCATTCTATTTATGTATCATATTAATATAATGTCATTATCATTCATCATCATTAAAACCCTTCACAAGTCCACTGCTGAACATAGACCTCCCCCAAGGAATGCCAGAAAGCACGGTCCTGAGCTACCTGCATCCACCAACTTCCTGCATGTCTTACCAGGTTTTGACTCCATCTAGTCGGGGAACATCCTACACTTCACCTGCCGGTTTGAGGCCGCCACTTGAGAACCTTTTTTCCTCATCGGTATTCGGTTCTTCGAGCTATAAGGCCGGTCAATTGCCACTTCAGCTTACTAATCCATTGGGCGGCGGTGGCAGCGGACACGCTGGTTCTGCTGCAGATATACTCATTCCTAAGTTTGAACCCCCGAGCATAGCCCTCTTCTTAGCTCACTGAGCGACTTCGAGCTTCCTCATACGGCTTTCCAGCTTCGTCAGAGCCACATATTCTAGGGGACTTGACATATCGCAATTCACGGGTTCTTGATCGAACACTTAATTGCCTTTGTCGGTAGAAGTTGCGCAAGAGGAAGCTGCCAAAAACCGTGAATGTAAACGATGGCCAGAATTTGTAAATAAGAAAGAAACTAAATTAGGGCCACTACGACGTTAAGACGCACAAATTATATTTTGAGACTCGAGAGATAGTTACATCTCTAGACTCGCACTTACTAAAACCCCATAGTGTTCTACCTCCTCCGCAAATTGGCAAAGCCACGGAAACGCTTTCATGCACATTCGCGGCCCCTCCGGCGGCAGTCACCTAATGGCAGCCCCTCCTTAGTTGCTGACTTCTCCTCCCCGTTTTAATTCTCAGATAAGGCGCACTAGAAACAAGCCACACTGTCCTTCGCGTCCTCTAACTCCACCTGCACTACGGACTCCCCGAGCCCGATATGTGAATGTAGCCAGGGAAAAACGAGCACTTGGAAGCATCAAGTGGTGCAGCCTCACCAAAGTCGCGAAAGTTAGTCGAGTGTCGCATCGCCAATCGCCATACCAACACTTCTCTTCTCTTACGACTCCACCTTGACTACAGCGGTACGTGGACAGGAATCTCCTCCAGCCGCAGCTCACTAAAACACATACAACGTGGCTTGACATCATCAGGCGATCTTTCGACACTTGGCTATGGCCCTTGAGTTTGGTGGAAAATGAGGAAAGAAGAAATAAAAAAAAACATTCGAAATAATAATCTAATACATTTATACTTACTGGTACTGGTACTACCAGAAAATATTGTCGGTATACTGAACTTTTTCAAAGTGGTGCAGTTCTCATGTCTAATAAAACAGTCGTCTGTGAAATGTTTGAAACAAATATGATCATTTTGTTTCGGACGCTAATTCACAATATTTATGCTTTTAAACCATAATTTTAGTCTAAGTTCAGTTGTAAACCTGTTAATTAATAAACGTTTTGAAATAATACTAGTTTTTACAGATTTTATCGCGTATATTTAACTATAAATACCCAACGTTTCGAGCGCTTTACAGCACCCATGGTCATGGAGAGGACTGAGATGTTCAACGTCCAAATGTCATAGTTAACAGCGGTTACCATAGATAAAACTAAACGACACTTTCACAATTCTACCTTTAGATAAAGTAACTGCATTTTTAGACCATCTCAACTCTATAAATTCTAAAATTCAGTTCACAATGGAGTTAGAGACAAACAATTCTTTAGCTTTTCTAGATGTGTTAGTAATTCGGAATCCTGATAACACCTTGAGCCATACTGTGTATAGAAAAAAGACCCATACAGATAGATATTTAAACGGCGATTCTCACCACCATCCTTCACAGTTAGCTACCGTAGGTAAATCCTTGTTTCAGAGAGCACGAGGGATCTGTGACATTAAACACCTGGCTGCCGAGCTCCACCATGTCAAGCAAGTTTTGCATGACAACAAGCTTCGGGTCCCGCGCCTACGTCACAGTGAACGAGTGAAGCCGGCCACAGTCGAGCGTGTACCTGCTGTACTGCCATATGTTAGAGGAGTCACTGACAAGATTGGCTACATCTTGAAGTGCGCTTTCATCAAAACATACTTCAAGCCGCCGAAGAAGATTGGACAGTTTTTACCATCAGTCAAGTGTAACGTCCCTCTGCAGGAGTGTACAAGCTTGATTGTGAGTGTGGTCTCTCCTACATAAGACAAACTAAAAGATCAATTAAAACCCGCGTTAAAGAACATATAGCTGATGTGAAGAATCGACGCTCCGGGAAGTCTGTAGTCTGTGAACACGTACAGGATCGCCCCCCGTCACTACATCAGATTTGATAGACCACAAATCCTCGCTAAAGAACACCGATTCCTTCCAAGGATGATTCGCGAGGCTATTGAAATCAAAAAACATCCTAATTTCAATAGAGAAGATGGCTGGGTGCTACCATCTGCTTGGGATCCTATAATAAATAAAATTAAATCCCAACCCAAGCATACAACTGCAAGACTTCAAGATACCATAAGTTCATACTGTGTAGATCGGAACAAAAGTTAAATTTTTATCTATGGTAACCGCTGTTAACTATGACATTTGGACGTTGAACATCTCAGTCCTCCCCGTGACCATGGGTGCTGTAAAGCGCTCGAAACGTCGGGTATTTATAGTTAAATATACACGATAAAATCCGTAAAAACTAGTATTATTTCAATGTGTAGTGTTCGCGTAAATATAAGAAATCATTAATAAACATTTGATAATCTTCTGTTGTTGGCGACTTTGTTTGTTAACAGATATGGGTAGGAAAGAACATCGATAAGTATTATAGACAAGGAACTCGACAACACTATTGAATTTTATTGTTTATCAAAACTCAGTAATATATAGCCAAAGATGTTGGTATATATGATATTAAGATTAGTAACAAATTTTTAAGTATTTGTATTATTAAATAGTTTTAATTTGTTTAATATTAGCTGCAAATTCCCTTACTTGTACAAATTTATACCACTTCCCTTTTGGTAACGAGTTTTACAGATTACGCACACTCTCATTATTATTAATAATAATTCCTATTATGTAACTAAAATTATACATAATCAAACAACATAAAATACTTTCGTGTTTTACTTTAGAAGTTCAAAATACAGATTTTTTTTAAATATGTAAGTCAATTTAATTAAGACGACAGACTTTGGCATATTGTGTCAATTTTAGT